GAAAATCTATCTATTGCCTTTAACACAAATAAAATCGTAATAGAAAAAACTATTGAATATATAATATATAAATATACGACCCGTTTTCGTAGACGTATTATCTATCACAATAGAGTAAAACTTTGTCAACCCAAACATAGTTATCCGAGATTTTAAGGTAATCATGTTTCTTATGTAAATAAAGTACAATGTGGAAAATTATCAACTCCAAACCGACCCTCAAAGGATGCCTCAACGAATTACTTTCAGCCGTTGCTTTAGAACTGCGTTTGTACCCTAGGTAGCTTTCACCTGTTAAATATAAGTTTATTATTCGCTTTAAGATACAGATCTATCTGTTAGTTTATTGTATCAAGAATTTGCATTCAGGAATCTAATATCTAAATCCTCTGGCTGGCGCAATTCACTGCAGCTCTGAATTTTTATTAAGTTTCAATAGCGTCTGGGCAACAATCTTCAGGCAAGAAAGGATTAGGGGTTGTTCCATAAAGATAGGGTGGTTTATAGAGCGATAAAGCTGATTGGTTTATATCGCAATACTGTTTCAATAAAATATTTACTTAACGCGAAACTTGAGAGGCGTCGATATATAAACTGAAAAAAAGTAAATCTGCTGATGCCACCTCCTATGAAACAAAAAATTTTGGCAAAAGGAAAGATGATTATAGAGAACCATTATATTTTTTGCTGGAACTTTTATATAAAGTTTGCGTTTCTAAATCTATTACGAATACCTTAATTCAAATTCTTAATCCTTCAGTCAGACGAATCGGTATTAAAATGACTCTAAGCTGGAAACAAATCTGAATGCCAAAACTATGCATTAAGAATTTTTATTGGAATTGCAATGGCAATACTTCATTTAAAACAATGTTGAATAAATGTTTGTTTCTTTGTTTAACTGTTCATCTTTACTCCTTGAACGTCAAAATAAGTTAAAACATTTACACTAATTGGATGGAAGCAAGTTCACTCGTACAGGGCATCATTTCTAAGTCAGCACATGACTGAACCATGACTTCTTACATTCTCGTCTCATTTCAGTGGGAAATGGATTTTAAGGAGAACATTACAGGTCACATTATCTTCAAGTTTCGTGCATATAAACTAGAAGCCGCCTTTCCCAAAGTAAACATAATTGCGAAAACCAACTGAATATTCATCATGCAGACACCTAAGCTGGAAATAAAGTCATGGATTTTTAAAAGAGAGTTAACTTAAATAATGTTTTAATAAAAGCTTTGTACGGTGCAAAGGATAATTTCCTAAACAGTAAATCCAAATATGCTTCCAGTTATTGATGCAAAATGTTTAGGCATTTTTCCGTAAATAAGTATATCTTTCAATTATTTAGTGGATGCTTTGAGTTGAAAAAAATTGATTGATCGCCATAGAAATTTCACTGTAGACAAAAATTAAAAACCGAATGTAAATATCGTACTATAAATCCGTGAATGTAAAGCCGATAAACTTTATATTTAGTATTCGAAAGCGTTCCAATTCCGTGAATGTGTCAAATATTCAGCCATAAACTATTGAAATGTTTAGTGACATTAATCCTAAAACAGTCGTTTATGGCATTTATGCCGGCAAATGTGCAAAATATGGCCGATGTGGGTTAGTTTTGATCCATGATTATGCCACTACATAGCAAGGATGATTGTAGATTTACGCACGCTTTTATTAGCTTGTTGATTTTATAAGTAAGATTTATTTTCATCCATGGAAAATGCATTTAGCCTAGTTTGGAAGGCTTAAAAGGTAATTTCGCATTTAGTGTTTGTCTACTGCAGTTTGACTTTTTTTATTACGGAAACTGTAAAAAAATTATTTCTGAGCGTTTAGAACTTCTAGGTGCAGGTGTTTCTCAAAATGTTTACCCGTATTTTCCAAGAAATCTATGCGAGATTGAAAAAGTGTATTCACTGGTTTGGTTTGCATCACCACTTAGGTTATCATCACTACCTAGATAAAGAGCAAGAGCAAAATCGATTTTGTCGCTGAAACATTTAAACCGTTCCTGCTAAATATTAAAAACGATTCCTATACTAGTTGCTGGAAATATCCGACTCGTTTGCTTTAAATACCCGCAAAACGGCGAAGTAGACACGAATTCAGTCAGCTTTGAGTAATGGAGCATGATAAGCCAATAACACAACAATATTTCAATTGAGGCAAATAATTGAATACCACTCTTGAGTGAGAGCTGAGGGAAATGAATGTATTTCCTTGAGCGATAACCAATTAGCTATTATACCCTTTTAAATATTTTCTATTCTCAGATAAATCCTGAATTTCAAGCTTTTTAGGGCGCATCAAGCTTTATATTCGTATAATGAAGTAAAAGGGAAAAGTGAATGAAACTTAATTAGATTAATTAATTGAATTTTCTGGCTTAAAAGGGGGCGCTGAGTAAGTACAAAAGATTGCCATGAAAATAATGGATTTCATCAAAACAGGGAATGATCAATTATTCTACACAAACGTCAACTAAATTCAAAATATGAACGAACCTTACGATATAAGAACGAAGAAAATGTGACTCTCGGAAGGCAAATTATGATTTCAGATACCATATTATATAACATGTAAGGGAGCAATAGAAACCAATTTATAAATCATGTTAGCTAAATTTTTCAATTGTGCTGCATCTTTCTAGACAGGATTCTACGTTTGTGAAATATATCCCAAGAAATGATAAAGTTAAGGAACGTTCTATGTGCAACAAGAAAAATTCAATTACCGAAGCAGGTGAGAACATTTAATTAACTTCGTTATCTAGGAACGTTTCTTGCTGATTTACGTTTCCTGTGCAGCATGATTAGCTTAGATCACCCAAGTTTTTCGACGAAAGTAGTTAAATAAAAAAAGAGATAACTTGATGGTGCTGCTAATGTATGTTCTTATGAAACCCCTTGAAATGCCCTGGATCACAAGTGTTGTTGATATCTACAATTTAAATATCAACTCGGGAACGATGGTCTGTTTTAACTCTCGTTCATAAATTAATTTATGTCAGCCTGAATAATTGGGGTGTTGATGATGTGAATAATAAGGTTGTGGAATTAAGTCATATATCAAACGAATATGTTTTATATTTACATCTGAGCAGTATGAAAACGTTACGCGTAACAATTTATGACTAATTTTAATATGTGGCAGTTTCAGCAGATTTCTTATGGAGCTAATTGAATAAGTCAAAGAACTATTTAAAGTGATAATATTCAAACAAATATTTAATTCATTCGAATGCTTCAGCAACATAAAGATTTCATATTTGCAAAGATTTTAGTTGCAAGTTTCGAAGCAACGAGCTTAAAATATATTTAAGCTCTTTGCAGTTTGACGAAGTTTCCGAATATGTTCGATCGACTGTAATGCTTCAGTCAAGATATAAATCACGTTTTTTCGCTAAACTCACCGCCAGGTTCTATAGATTTAATACGACTTCCATTTCCAGCAAATATTTTTTTTGCGAAGTATATAAAATAATTCGCAAAAAATGTTATATTTTAATATGAATTAATAACATTTTCCGTGATATCTAACATGTAACTGAAAAAAACTGCAGATTCTCAAAAGTGTAATTATTGTATTTCGAATAAATAACTGGCGTTAGTCTGTAAATGCGTCGGCTGAAGGGAACAAATTAAACTCAGATCAAAAATTAGTGAGCACCAAACCAAGATTAATTGATGAAAGTGACGCCTCATGAAACTTTCAATTTCAATTTTTAGAAAGCTAACATTCGGTGAATGCACACTATATAGAAAGGTAATACAAAATATCAATATTTGGAACCGCTTCCTATCTAATTTAATTTTTAAGAAGTATTGTCAGTAAGAGTAGCATTATTAATTTTTAATGGCTTTCAACTAACCAAGCAAATTATTTTTCTGAAAGATTCATTTTTGTTTTCCTTCACTTGAGAACTCTTTTCATTACATGCACTATCGTTCACATTTTTTTGCTTTTGCTGCTGAAATAGGGCAATCAATGTCCAGTCCAAAACGCAACAAAAATCAAGGTGGATAAAAGACGTTTTGAAGTGGATAATTAAATGCTTTTATATAATAAAATGTATAGGGTGATTTAAATTTGGCGTTATTCCTCTGAAGGTGTTATCTGTTATGTAAGAAGCACAGAAAAAAAATTTTGTTATGAAGAAACCGACATATTTACAAAAAACTAGCTAACAAATAAGCTCAAACATATTTGTAATAAACAATATAAATATTTAAAATAATATACATATGTACCTACAAATTTGATGGCACATGGAGACGATATTTATTTTTATAATTTTTAAGCATTAAAATAGATTGCTAGCAAGTCATAAGTGAACGTTCAAGTGTTGATATCTCAATGTAAGCATTTTCCGCACTCTTAGAGTATGCCCCAATAATCCATCAAAAAACTACTTTCATAACACCAATTTGGAAACTTTATCTATAATTAATCATTCTAATTTTCTGCCGGTTTTTTATTGATTCACCAACGCAACTTTTTTTATGCAGGATTTATAAATTCCAGATTTAAGAAGATTGAAACACCGTCTGACTGCACCTAAACTGTTGAAGTTGCAAGAACATAAGGTAAAAAACGTAGCAAACATTTTCAGTCATCAAAAGTTTTATTTATCTAGAACTGATTATCTCAAATGATGGATGTTTGTCATCAATAAAATCCGAGACTCAGATTTACCACGGTTCAGACTTGGGAGGCTCTATTTGCCGGCCAACTTTTAGAAAGAAATTTAGTACTTAAATGCTGTTGGAGTTTTGACGAAATATCAATATTCTCAATCTGCTATAAATAAATTTTTTTGCACTTTTATAGCAAATAGCTACTAACTTTGAGTGACTGACATCAATTTAATCAAATCCATCATTACGGGTATTATGAGACGATAATAAACGACATTTAATTTTTCACTCATATTATTCTATCGAAATTTCTAATCAACTTGTCAAATCGGCGAAATATCTATAAGCACTTACCTGCATATTTAATACGAATTTGCACATTGCGGTTCCAAACCACCAAGTGCTGGTCACATCCCACACAACGGAAAATGGCAAGCAGAACAAAATAACTAAAGCATCCGCTAGTGCCAAGTTTACAATGAAATAATTCGTCACTGTTCTCATTGAATGGTTTCTATATACGGCTACACACACCAGAACATTTCCAAAAAGTCCCACAATAAACACTATACAATGGAAGAAAATCAGCACATACATCCATGTAGGTGGCACTATGTTGCGATCATAAACTTCCTGCTGTTCGCTGGTTAGATTTTGACTTTCTGAGTAATTTGCTCCCATATTTATTCGCCTAAGACATTCAGTTCTTTAAGCAATTGCTGGATCTTTCAAATTTACTCACATCAAAGTGCCCAACTTAAATGGGAATTGGGTGATATTGTGCGTTGATTAACTTTCCACCAAATGGTTTTGAGGTGGCTAGCAGGATTATTTAATTTGACGTCTTCGTGCAAAAAAACTCCAAAGATGACGATGAAACATGGCCAGACAAGTGTTAAATTCCGACAGAAACTCTGGAATTGGCTTCTACTTTTATGGTGAACATATCTGTAAAAAAGAAATTGTTTTATTCAAGTGTTCATTATTATATTGATTTTTAGAAATAAACTTTTATGAAACAGTTATTATAATTTTGTTTTTAAGGAAATTCTATCAGCAAGTGCTAATCGAAAGCTCCTACGTAATGTGGCAAATGGCATTTATTAATTTTTGCCTCCATCGGTTTAGATTTTTACAGTTTATGATAAAAACTACTACAAAAGTATGGCTTTCAAGACTCTTAATCGAAAGTTTCGTTTCGATTGACGACACAGCTGAGAACTTTCTATTGTTGGATTGTTTCATAATTTACGAAACTGTGTAAGACTTTCTACATATTACAACGTCATTATGAGAGAAAAACAATTTTCGATTTCTTGATATTTGAAATGGATTCCAAAGAGCGGGTGAAGTTGTAAAAGTAGTAAAATTTTTCATCCAGTATGTTAGAGATTCGAAGAAAAAAAGAAGTGTTTCCATAAAGATAATAAAACAAATCAAGCAAAATAAAATATTACATCATTTTCCCAAAACCTGTTCTTAAACTGAAACTTGACAAATACTTTCAAATAAAGTTAATAGATTAAGATTAAGTTAATAAAATTAAGACTTTCAAATAAAGTTAATTTTATAAATACTGCAAAGTTGAGGTTTTGTACCACCCGAATCAGAGGCAGATTCATACTGAAATTTTTTGCTTTAAAATTCAATAAAATAAATAACAAAGTACTCAAGAACCGCCTATAAATAACACACACATATAAAATATAAAAGACAGTGTTGTTAAATCATAAGCGCTCCTGAGTATTTTGTTACTTATATTCGTAGACTTAAAATTTAAAACAAGTTAATCTGTCCCTGATCTAAGCTAGACAAAAACTCAACTTTGCACTACGAGAATAACTGGCATTTTAATTCTGTTTTCTATGGCAAAATATCAACATTCTTAATTTAAAAATAGTTCATACGAAAATTTGATTAGAAATTGCTACTCGATATATTAAAGTCGAAATTATCTGCCTAATAATTTCGATCCCTTTTCACAGAAATAATAGTAATTAAAGAATTTGTAAACCAGTTACATAAAAACCTTCGTGTTAATTGAAACAGAAATTATGTATAATAAAATATCGATTTTTTTATCGAAATTTTGAGATGCCAGAATTTTTCCATCAAATCATCATCATTTAATTTTTAGCCTGACCAAAATCATATAATTTTGAATGCCATAAATAATAATTTCCTCTTTCTTCTAATTTCACATTCGGTTCAAAAAATGTTATTTTATTAAACAAGCCTCAGTACCTCTGCATCTTAACATGACATGCATTCTCAGTAACAAATCCATCAAATAGAGAAAGTTCTAAAAGAGTTTAGTAATTTAGTCAATAATAAGATAATAATAAGTTGAATTTGCCTTACAAATCGGAAATATAACGAAATAATGCGACGCTAACAAAAAAACCAAGCGTAATTGGAAGTTTAATGCACAAAAAGAATTGTAAAAATCGCAAACGAGAGCTGCTAGAAACAAGGACAACATGGAATAATTATTTCAGGTGATTATTAAAAGAAGTTGATTTCTAGAGAAGCTCAAAAACCTCTAAGCATCCTGATGCTAATAATTTTACAAAATCTGATCAAAGGTTTAATTGTTTGCTGTATTGTAATAACAAATTTATTATTAGTTAAGAAAAATTTTCCATATCTTCCAATTTCAACAAATCAACTAATCATTATGCCTTGTCAGATATTTGAAATCCTTTTTGGACATTCAAGCTCTGCAACTGCCCTTTAATATTTTTATTTCAGCTTCGACTTTTCAAAGGTTAGGATATTTTTTATCAAGCCTAACTAGCGAACCGTTCTCGAAACCTTGTCTTGAAAAAGTCCGTCTATGCAGTAAACCGAGTCCTTTGAGACCTAGTTATACCTGGGAATATTGAAGTTATTATTTAAATTTTGAGTCTCTACATTCAGACATGGGAGAGTAGAGAGAAGCTGAAATACGAGTTTCAATCGCAAGGGCGAAGGACTATCGATCCAGCAGATATTGCTCCAACTTCTGAAAAAGATGGTTTTAAAACTCGATTGTTGTTTATTATATTCGAATAATTTATTCTCGCTTTCTAAAACTAAAACTCTATTATTATCTCTAAAACTCTATTAAAACAACTGACAGTGTTCAACCATTACCAGGATGCAAGCTTTTTTAAATATTATGGCTCTTAAAATTTTGCAGTTTTGATTCTCATTCACTTAATGAAATTAGCCATATTGAGGGCCAAGTTAAATGATAAAAGTTTACTTTTGTTTGTTCTGATTTGCTAAATTTATGGGACCCCTATAACACAGAGCTCCTGATCAATGGCCAGCTTTTATTAAAACCCTGCATGATGTATTTTAAATTACTTCCTCTATAAGGAGCCATTTTTGCTTAAAGATATTTTCCAAAACATGTACGATCAATGGATAAACATTCCGATCACTCTTTGTTAAGAATGTACCTTTCTCGCAAATACTCTGGTCATAACTCTCGCTTTGGTAAGGTTGAATTATTGTTATTTTAGGTACGAAACAAACAATACTTCCAACCCGCTGAAGCACATAACTTTGCTAATTAGACATCGTTGGTTACCTACCTGCCATTAACCAAAAGTTGCCTTAACAAGTATAAATAAATGGCTAGAAGATATGGGCTATCGCAGGTAAAAACAATTTTCGCTTCAAAACAATTCTCGTTTGTAAACAAAATAGTTCTGCCACTTTTCTTATAATACTTACCGGAGAAACAAATATAAAGTTGACATATTTCAGATGATACGAACTCAAAGTTCTAATACTTTGGACTGGTATTGTACGTATTGAATAAGCACCCTTTAGTCTCTTGAGGCGGGGATTTGACATGGTTTATAGGAAATTACTACATGGGAACAACGATATCACGTTGCGAGTTTAATCGAGATTCAACCAATCAAACATCATACAGATGAAAATGTATAATTAATTTCATAAGATATTATTCGCGATTCAGAAACTGTTAATCAAAGCTAATAGCTGAAAATTATTTAATTACACCCTAACGTCCATCAGGATATTTCATTAAACGCTAAACAAGTCGAAAACATATATGCTGCTCATTTAGGACAGTTTTCCATTCAAGCACTCCAAAATCAGGGACCAGAGGGCAAATATCTAATAAAACTTTAGGGCATTTTCAGCTAGTTGACCACTCAAATGATATTGCTTTGAACGAGTGGCGACTTTTCGGTCGTTCTATATGTGTCTTGTTTCGGGACATGCAATTTAATTTATGTGCGAGCAATTATTACACTCTACTTCATTAATTACCTGTATTTTTCGGTTCCTGTTATTTAGGGTTTCACATTAATAGATTTTTAATTAGTATTTTAAACAATTCAAATTACTGAAACAGGTCTTCATAGCCCGAACACTTTAATGTCGCCTATTAATTACATATTATAGGTAATGCCGACTAAATTTACTGAAAGAGAGAATGTGGAAATGGAATAATATACAAATCACAAATTATATGATAAACATTATATTTCTTTGAAATGTATTTAAAAAAATGTTTCATTAAATGAAATTAAATAACTTCGTCAATATATTTACATAGATATTATGCACTAACATAAAATTACCTGATTACCACGTGATATTGGGTCTTTATTGGTGACTGATCCGTTTTTTACGTAGCTATCACCTTTAGTACTTGCGGGGTGGCGGGATACCCATTAACTTGAATCTTATGTAAAAGCTTATAAAATTTTATCAGCCAGTTATACAGCTGAAAAATAATATATTCTGCCCTACCTAACTTTCTACAACAAAAAACATTTCTAAAATGATTAAAATAAAAATGAATCAGTCAATGCGGAACTGTTATCCTATGATATTTTTGCTACCTATTTTTTTTGTTAATTTGTGTTTCTGTAAAATGTTTAATAGGTCCTAAACGGGAGGTTATAAAACTAAATTGCAGGTTTGTCGTAAAATTTTATATCCATGTTTTTCTCAAGTTTCCGAAAGTTTGGAATAGGTATGAAGTATTCCAAAGTAATTCTCCACGTTCCCGAAACGTTTCAGTTAGTCGTTTCCGACGCTTGGTCTGAACGAATATCCATGAATATTCTTCAACCAAAAATAAAATTAACATGGCAAGAGATTTTTATCACTTTCAGCTGAGCTGCATTCTCGTCTATGTAAATATTGAAAAATTATTTGCTTTGTCGGAAAGGAGGAAATAATTTTCAATAATATCACACGTTTCGTGTGACATAACTTTAATGTTTAAATTAAATAACAAATACAAAGACATGAATAATAATGCTTCTAGTAAAATTATCTTTTCTATTATGTTCCAACGCTTTGGAAGCCATTAATTCGTATCTTCATGCTTCAACAGTTGGTCTTCGAGTGAACTTAAATCCAAATATTGAAATTTGCCCCATAGCAAGATCAACTTTTTTCGCCAGCCAAGTTCGCAATAATCACCCACAACTGATGAAGTTTAATTTGGGCAAATGAAAGGTGTGTCCCAATAATTAACTATCGGCATCGTACTGGAAGAAGATATATCCGGTTAACGATTAATCGACTCTACTTGTCGTTTCTTATTAGCAGATTTGTGAGAAACTTATAATTAAAAAGATTTATCACGTCAGAATTTTGTGGCCGCTTGGGTAAAATCGATTAAATGTTCGCACAAGTTCCGCGTTGTATGGCAATTCATCCAAAATTACCACCTACATAAACGGCTTCAGGGACTCAGAGGAATAATAAATAATAATTTGTAAAGAATAAGGTCGACGGAAGATAAATTGCAAGTACTTCTACTACCAATTGACTCCAAGCAATAGTCAACGGTGGATCATATGTGTTTCGATTATGACCGACGTAGCGAAGAAGATTCAAGATTATGTATTAAAGATTCGCTTTGTCGCTGAAATTTGCTTGAGAAAATAACATTTAATTTATAAAAAGCA